ATGTCCACCCATCCATCAACTATCTGTCCATCTGTTCATCCATCCACCCACCTGTCTGTCCATCTGTTCATCCATCTGTCCATTCATCCACCCGCCGTCCATCGCTCGTCTGCCCACCATCCCTCCCTCCACAGAGGCCTGTCCCATGGCTGGGGAGTCGGCGATGACAGAGGCCCCGTCCTGCCAGTGATGAGGCAGCAGACACCCCATCTTGGCCGTTTACCTTTCCCTCCCTCCCTCCCACGACCCCCTCGAGCCAGGCTGGGCAGGACAGTCAGAGTCCTGGGAAGGGAATTTGCCTTCCCGGACAGACGGAGGAGGCTGCCGGGCCCCTTCCCACAGGGCCCTTCCTGCCTCGGCCAAGTGTGGAGATGGCCAGGCGGGTGCCGGCTGGCAGTGCCGGGCCTGCTCCTGGCTCGTGGCACTGCCTTTGGTGTTTCCCCGCTCGTCCTTGGGCGCCGGCATTTAGTCCTGTTCTCCCACGGCCTGAGCTGGAGGGGCTGTTACCACCCTCTTCCGATGAGGAAAGGCTGGGCGCGGAGCAGCGGGGGGGCGGGGGGGAGGGGAGGAGGCAGAGGGGGGGGCATGGATGGGCCGGCCCCTCCTCCAGCCACTGCTTCTCTTCCCTCCCGTGCATGTGCACAGCACGGGCCACACAGGAAAGCCGGGGACCCACCGGTGCCCGCTCTCAGGGCAGGGCCCCCAGGGCTGGAGCCGGGCAGGCTGGTCACAGCAGCGCTCTGCCCTGGGCCTCCCTGGGGCGTGAGGGTGGTCACAGGGAGCTCTCAGAGCTGTGGCAGCGAGGAGACGCGATGGGCCCACGCGTGGTGCCTGCAGATGCCAGCACGGCCTGGTGCCGCTGTCCTGTCCGTACCCCCTCGCCCTGCGTCACCTTGCCCCCGCCCTGCCAGGTCTGCCGTGGTCAATGGGGGTGGTGGCCGTGCTGGTCACCATCATGAAGAACCACGAGAGGCTCCTGGACATCCAGCTGTGCGCCTGCGCCCTGCTGCTGCGCACCCTGGGCCAAGGTG